GAAGGAAGGAGAGCACAGGAAGCAACAGCTGCCTCTTAGCCGTGGGGAAGCTGCTACAGGAGGGTCCAAGTGGGGAGCGGTGAGAGTAGAAACTTTAAAAAAATGAAACTGAAGAGGGGTCTGGGCAGCCACAGTGGCACTGTGCCGTGACCTGGCCCCGTGACCCCCACCCTCTGAAATTGTGCTCTTAGCAAAAACAAACTGACTGCAAAACCCCACAGCGGCCACCGTGCTTTAGACCACTCTGTGGGCCCAGAGAGGGCAAGCAGCCTCCCCAGATCACCCAGTGGGCAGATGATGGAGCCTGACTCAGGCCCGGCACTGTGCTCCAGAGCCACCGGTGCCACCGGAGGGAATCAGCCGAGCCAGAGGGAATCCTGTGGCCACAACTCAGAGAGTGACGTCTTCAAGCCGCTGCAAAAGCAGAGGTGTATTTCCCTCAGGTACCAAGGAGCGGGAGGAAGGCCGTCCAGGTCACTCCAGGGCACAGGCTCCTGGGCTCTTCTTGGGCAGCCCGAGTCCCTGGGCCTTTCTCCCAGGGCTGCGCGTGGCTGCCACATCACGTCCACTTTAAAATGTCTCACTTCTTTCTTTTTTCTTTTTCTTTTGTGGTACTGGGGACTGAACCAGGGCCCTGGGCATGTGGGGCAGGCTCTCCGCCCACTGAGCTGCACCCCAGCTCTGAAATGTCCTATTTCTTAGTTGATCCGTGTGTGGGTACAGATCACTATTCGTCCCACACCAATTTCTCTGGAGTTCTCCTGGCAGTGGGCCCCCGTGGGCTCGGGGCTTTGCAGGGAAAAGGCAGGATTTCCCGGGTTCCCTTGCGGCCGGATGTGGTCAGGAGGCTGCATCTGGCCTCAGGTACATAAGTGCCTTCCTGCTCGCTGCTTCCCCCTGGGTCCATGAGACTAGGAGAGGCGCCACCTGGGACCTAGAGGTAGAAGCCACCTCTTGAGAGAGAGATGGCAGATGGGTCCCAGCAGATTTTGGGGTCGTTTTCATAACTCACACGACCACATCCTCCACGCCTCTGAGGGTTTTAGGTGCTGGTTACGTTCTTTTCCAGTGTATGTTCCAGTCAAAATGGATCTGACCAAAGTTAAATGCTGGCCCGTGTGGCATCTAAGCCATGTCACTTGCTGGCATCTCTGTGCACTAGTGGCTCCTGTGTATTCTGTTCCCACAACGGCCCTGAGAGCTCGGAACGATCGTCAGCCTGTACAGGCGGGGTTGGGGAAGTGAGGCCGTTCATTCATATGTCGTCGCTGGCCAAGCAGCGACCCCGGGTCTCCTCGGGGGCAAAGTCTTCTCCCTGGGAGGGGGGAGAAGCTGGGGCTGGCAGACTTTTTCTGTAAATAACCAGATAGTAAATATTTTAGGCTCCGCCAGCCGCTCTGTCGCGATTACTCAATTCTGCCTTTGAAGTGAGGGGCAGGGTGCCAGTGGGCGTGGTGGGCGCTAACACGACTTTATTAATGAGTTAAAATCTCACGGACTGTCGCATCCTGAACGGTTATTCTTCTACTGATCTTTTCAACCACTTAAAAATGTGAACTCCAGTCTCCATTGGCAGGTGGTGCAGAAACAGGTCATGGCCGGATTCTAGATGCAAACCGTGCGCGGCTGCCCCTGCTCTGCACTGTTGGCTTTATTGGTTTTTAAACTGTCTCCCCAGGTCTCTGCACCTTGCCCCCTTTCAACCCCGGCTGAGCCCTCTTTATCTTAGGCTGCCCTTCCTAGGAACAGTAACTGTGTTTATTGAGCACTTACTTAATGCAAGGTCCCTCCTAAGGCCTGGGGTCTGAATGAGATGGAGCGGAAGAAATAAGAGGAGCTGCCGTGGCCTCCCAGGCAGCGTTTCCAACTGTCGGGAAGGCCTGCTCCTTCTCTCCCCTATCCGCCTCCCACAGGAGTCTCTTTTTCCAAAATGAACACACGAGGTTTGAATACCAGGTCCTTCCTTACAAACACGCAGAGTCTGAGGCCCGGGGCAGAAGGGGTTCGCCCAGGGTCACACACAGTGGTGACCTTGCAACAGGAGCCGGGGCCTTGTCCCTCGCACGGCAGGATGTCAGGAGGCTGGGGCCCTGGGAGGCTGGGGGCCCTTCAGCAGCCGCAGGACAGAGAGCAGGGACTGGTTAATGATCAGTCTCTGGGACAAGGACAAGGCTGATTCCAGCTCAAAGAGAGATGTCCCTTCCATCTAGTTCTGTGCCTTGACCAGGTGCTGGGGTGAGGCCAGAGCTGGAGGGAGTGGAGTCTGTGCTGATGAACCAGGAGAGGGGCAGGGCGTCTCCTCCAGGCTGCAAGGTCACAAGGGCCATCGATAGCAGCCACACAATGCTAATATCAGCCACCCTTTTCTGAGGGCCCACTCTATGGCAGACGCCATGCTCAATGTTTCAACCCATCGACTTGTTGAATCCTAACTGCACCATGAGGTAGATGACCTCCATTTACAGATGAAGAGACTGAGGTTCACAGGGGCAAAATGATTCACCCAGAGTAACACCGTGAACGAGTCGCTGAGCTCTAGTCTGTGTTTATGAGCTCTGTGCCGTAGGGCCTGGCCCAGAGAGGAGCCAGGGAAGCTGGGGTAGGATGGGGCTCACTGGACAAGACCCCAGAGGTCCTCAGCCTTTGAGGGTAGACCTGCCCCCTCTCTCCAGTTCCTGAACCATCCTGTGCTCGGTATTGTCACGTGAGTGGTGGCTTCAACACCCTTCCACAGGGGCGCTCCCATTCATCCTCCAGCTGTGGGGGTGGGCGGCACTGTTTCACCCCGTCTTACAGAGGAGCAAATGAAGTTCAAGTCAGTGATTTGCTCAGGGTCCAGTAAGGGGCCTGTGTGTGCTAGGGAACTGCTCCACCACTGAGTTCTATTCCCAGGTCTTAATTTGACTTTTTAATTTTGAGACAGGGTCTCACTAAGTTACTGAGGCTAGCCTTGAACTTGCGATCCTCCTGCCTCAGTCTCCCAAGTAACTGGGATTATAGGTGTGTACCCCTGCACCCACCTCTACCTGGCTTTCAAATCTGAACCTTTTCCTCCTTTTCTCTGCCCAAAGAAGGCCACCCAGGCATGCCACCCATGACTTTCCTTCAGGAATGTCCGAGATGCACCATCTGTCACAGAGACATCTTTCGGGTGGCGGTAAACATTGCCCTCCTCTTCCCTCATTAGGCCAACCCACCTCCTGAACCTCTTCTTGTCTATAAAGACAAAATATCCCCATTTTGTCTTATGTTGAGTGACATGTGAGAAACGACAGCCAGGCACATAGGAAGTGGCTCATATGTGGCCGCTGCGTAAAAATCTCTCTAGGATTCCAGCAGTGGGAGGAGCTTCCAGCAGTGGGAGGAGCTTCCAGCAGTGGGAGGAGCTTCCGTCAGTGGGAGGAGCTTCTGGCAGTGGGAGGAGCTTCCAGCAGTGGGAGGAGCAGTGGGAAGACCCGCCCTGTGGTGGGTGGAGAGGGCTATTCGCTGGCTCCTTGGGACCTCCCCACGGACTCCACGCTCCCTGAGGGCCCGTGTTGTCCCTCACCGCTGTGACAGCTTTGTCCTGCCCACTTGCTCACCCAGAGTGCCCTCTGGCCGGTGGCAGGTGTCCCGTGTTATTAAGGAGCTCTAAGCCTCCGCCCCTCGGACGTGCAGTAGGGGTGGTAAGTGGCCTCCCGGGGCGTCAGGAGTGCTGATGAATTCATGGATGGCACCTGCCTAACGTGGGGGCTTCTGAATGTCCCCTCCTGTCTCAGCTTCCCGAGCTGCTGGGGTTACAGGCCAGCGCCACCCCGCCAGCTTCTGGGTCGGGTGGATGCCAGCTTTGCCCGCCCGTCTGGGCCTCGGTTCCCCGGGTGGAGGGGAAAGGTGGCCAACCCCGCCCGCGCCCAGGGCTGCTGGGCTCTGTCCTCCACCCCAGCGAGCCTTCTCGGCCCCTCGGACTCCAGGATCACGTTGTTGACCAAACCTTACGTAAGCGCCAAGCTCCGGCTGACCTCGACTTGTGCGCCCAGAGCAGCCGGCTCTCGTGGCCTCTGGGCCCCGCGGCCACGGGAAGCCCGGGGAGGCCTCTGGTGAATCGTTAGGCTCTCGCCTTGCTGCCCTGGCCCCAACTCCATGTCCTTGGCTTCATCGGCTCCGTCCTTAGAAGAGTAGGCCCGGGGACTGCTGTCACCTAACATAAGAAACGGGACCCCTCGCCCATCGCCGGTCCCTCCACCGGGGTGTGTGCGGCGAACCCCGACCCCGGCTGGGCTCCAGCTCCGTCTGGCCTCCAGCGGCCTCCAGGGAGGAGCAGGTGGAGCCCCCACCAGGGCCGGGCAGCCGCGGGAGCCTCATTTTCCCACCAGTAACTTCCACAAGTTGCCCTCAACCCTGGCTGCACAAAGAGGTGCCCCCAGAACTTCTTGAAGATCCTGAGGCCCAGGCCCCACCCCAGAGTCCCCCATAGGGACCCCCGCCCTGGGGACTCCTCAGGGCCAGCTGTGTGGAGCTCCGCGAGGTCGGAGGGGTGTGGCAGCGGTGGCCCAGCCCACGGGGAGTGGTGCAGAGGGCGCTGGAGGTGGGGACCCGGGTCACTGAGTCCTCCTGTCTAGCCATCCCCTGGGGAGCGACTCTCCTCACCCACCATGTGCTGTGGAGGGCTCCACCCTCTGCTTTAGTGCCCTGGGCTCAGGGCTCAAGCCTCAGGTGTGCATGTGTGTTACTGTCACCTGAGCCCTGAGGTCCTGGTCCCCGCCACTCAGGGTGAGCTGGCTGACTTCAGCCTCAGACTTCTCTGGTGGTCACAGCACCACCCCAGGCACAGCAAATATGACCCCAGCTGCTGCCATAAAACCCTGTTCCCTCCTGGTACCAATAGGAACCACCCAGCGTGGGGGGCGGGGGCGGGGATGATGACTTCCCCCAGCCACTGGGTGAACAAGCCAAGGAGAGAGCCAAGGCTGGGGTCCAGACCCTTCCTGCTCCTCCACGTGGTCAGTGTGTGACTGACTTCCTGAAGGAAATCCCATGTAAAGAGGAAAAATCAAACATTTTGCTGGACTTTCTTTGAGAGTGTCAATGTCCTTCAGCCTAAGTCCCCCGGGAATGTCCACTTAAATGAGTGGACTATCCACCGCAGCAGGGGTGAGAGCCTGCACCCCAGGCCACAAGCGACTTCATCAGAGGGGTCACAAGAACCTGCCCGGGACTGGGCCGCCCCTCAGGTCACCTGGAGGAGGGCCTGTGGAAGCCCGGCGGTCCCCGATGGGTGAGGCCAGCAGCCAGGGCGCATCCACACCTGGGTCAGGAAAGAGGGTCGCTCATTAGCCAGGAGCGGGTGCTGGGGTTCTCGGGCAGCACAGTGACCGTGCACTTAGACAAGGCCAGGAAGTGGTCTTGCTCTGTTAGCTGGAGGTCCCGCAGGAGGACCACGTGGCCTGGCCCCAGCATCCAGCACCCTGCTCTGTGTCCCGCACAGCACCCTCGCCCACCGGCTCCTGCTGGCACACCCTGGCCCTCCACATCCAGAGCACCGTCTGTTTTTTGTGCAGCTTATGAATCAAGAATAGTTTTTACATTTTTTTTGAAATAAATTGAAAGAAGAAAAACATCTCGTGACATGCAGAGATTATGTGAAATTCAAGTCCCAGCGCCCAGCTATTCATAAACTGTACCTTGCGCGCTCCCCCGCAGAGCTGATTATTTACAGCAGAGATCACATGGCCCCAAGCCTAAAATATTTACTATCTGGCTTCGTAGAAGAAGCTTGCTGGCCTCTGCTTTATCTTTTTATTTTATTTTAAAGTGCTGGGGGTGGAACCCAGGGCCTCAAGCAAGCTGGGCACGTGCTCTGCCACTGAGCTGACCCCAGGCCTGTCCCTGAATTCCTTGGGTTCATTCCTTAACCCCTTGACAGTTGTATGGAGACGGTAACTCCATTTATGACTCGCGAACGGAGTAACGGGAAATCAAGGATGTATCTGGACCAGGGCTTCTGACTTCAGCACTATTACATTTGGGGTGACAGGGCTCTTTGTTGGGGGCCTGGCTTGCTATGGGGGGCGGTTATCATGGTCTCTAATATGTGCAGCAGCATCCCCGCCAAATCCCTGTGACAAAAACGTCCCTAGTCATTGTTCAGTGTCCCTCGGGGGCAGAATTGGCTACATAGTGACGGAAGCAGGCCGCAGTTTCACCGGCAGCCCCACACCCAGCTCCCAGGGTCCGGGGTGGCGGCTCCAACTGCAGGAACTGAAATCCGTTCCGTTTTTTCTCTTCTCCAAAACACTGTCCAGGCTCCTGGGGAGTGTGGTCGGTGAGCAGAGGGGACTTCAGAAGGAAGTCAGATCCTGAGCAGTCCTCCTGTGCCCGAGCTCTACCCCGGCTCCCGTACTGAGCTCCGAGACCCTGTGCGGCGGCCCTTTTCCTGCCACCCTGCCTCGGCCTCTTCTCTCTGCCTCCCCTGGCCTCCGGCTTCCTGACACGGGCTCTCTCCTGCTCGACCCCCGGGCATTTGGGGGCTCCCGCTCCCCTCCTTCAGGTCTCAGAGGACAGATTTTCCTTCTTGGTCAGAGCTCCTCTCTGTGGGAATTTCTTCTCTGCCCTGTTCTCCGCGACACCCCTGCCTCCGACATACCACGTACATTTACGTGTCTGTGGTCTGTCTCCCCCTCTGAGGGTAAGAACCGCAGGGCACGGACTTCCATGCCTTGACACTCAGTGCCCGACACACGAGAGACACTCGCTCCAGAAAGATGTCTCCGTGGATCGATGGTGGAGGCTTCGTGTATCTGAGTTCCTGCCCTGAGCTCCAGGTGGCCCTGAGTTCAAGTCAGAGGAGCAGAAACACCTGCCGGGCTTACCTGCTCTCGGCATCTCTGTGGCCACCAGCCCAGCCAACCGCCACCGCGTTACCTGGAGAAGGGGAGAGGCCCTGCCTGGGTTCCCCGCTCCCAGTTGGGGCCCCGCAGTCCCTTCTCCCGGGCCAGGCCAGAGATGTTTGCAGAAGCCCTGTCATCCCTCTTGGGCGCGGAATCCATTACTCCTTACAGCTGGCCATTCTCAAATAGCCCTTGGGCGGTGGCTGCTCGCGGGAGCCTGGGCCTGGGCTATGGGTGGCCAGGTGGCTTGCAGCTGACTTCCTGCCCACAGGCCGGGACCATCTCCAGACAGGATGGTGGGACAGGAGGGGGTGAGGCCCTCTCTCACCCTTTTTTCTTTAAATGAATAGCACAGGGTCCTCGGCCAGGAAGAGGCCCCTCGGCTGGCTACCCCAGAGCCAGTGCCCTGTCCCCTCTGCCGCTTCCGCTGACGTCGCCCTTCTTTCCCCCAGCTGCCGTGCGGAGGAGCGGCCTGCCCGCAGTGCCCACGGAGATGCGCTTTCTGGCCAGCACCGAAGAGTAAGTTCCTGGGGAAATTCTGGGAAGACATGCTGGGTTCAAGGGTCTGCTTCGGCCTTCCCCTGGCCACCCCGAGGCCGTCCAGACAACCCAGTGCCCGAGTTTCCACCAGTCTTCCCCGTGGCTTGGGCAAGGCCTCAATGGCCTCCTTTAAACGAAGCCACCATGGAGAGGACAGAGGCACAGGAATCCCCGAGGGGCTGGGGGCTGGGGGCTGGGGGCTTTCCTCTTGCAGGAAGGACCCAGGGAGCAGGAAAGCTCGGCCACATGGTCGTCAAGAAGGGGAGGCCAGGCTGAGAGGCTCTAGGACAAACATATCCTGTGATCTGATGGCCGTCCTTCACCCTATGTGACATCTTCACATCATTGTCACGTTTGTTCTGCAGTGTCCTTTGTGTTACGGCAGCATGGTTAAGGCCCCAGGGTTTGGAGTCGCACAGACCTATGTGGAATTCTAGCCCTGCGACTTGTTGACTGTGTGACTTGAACAAGTTGCTTGACCTCTCTGAGCCTCAGTTAGTGCTCACCTACCAACTGGACGTGATGTTGGGGCCCACCTCCGAGAGTTGTTTTGAGATTAGGTGAGATAGTGTGGATGAAGGTTGCCCGGGTCTGACGTATACACAGGGCACCTGTTCCTGAAGTGTCATCTTCCCCATTCTATACGGACGGAAGACCAGGCAGCACAGGGCTGTGTGGGCAGAGCCGGGATGGGTGGGCGGCTTCACTCACTGGACACGCGCTTAGGGAGGGCGCAGGGCTGGTGGGGAGCAGCAAGGAGCAGAGGAAGGCGCCAGCCCTGGGGGAGCCGGGTGGGCGCGTGAAGCCCTCACTGTGGGGCAAAGCAAGGGGAGCCGGAGGGGAGGAAAGGGCAGGTGAAGGCCGGGAGGCGGGAAGGCTCGCCAGGAGGGTCCCGCCGAGGGAGCCCCGCAGGAGGTGAGGTCGCGGGCATCTGTGGGGGGCCTTGCCAGCAGAGGGACAGCACCTGCCCAGCTCCTGGGGTTTCCAGAGCCACGGGAGGCCGGCGTGGCTGAGCCTGCGTGAGCAGATGGGGGTGGTGCAGAGAAGTGGCTGGGGTGACGAGAAGGTGCAGGTGGAAAGACGGCGTGTGGGACCTCCTAGGCCACTGTCACAGCCTTGGCTTTGACCAAGATGGGAGCAACGAGGAGGCGTGGTCTCTGTCAGTGGCTCCCGTGGCCTGGGCTCCTTCCCGGCACCACGTCCAGGGCCTTTGAGCCAACTGTAAGACGTGACCTCTGGGACGGATCCAGCCACTCAGGACCACGTGACCCGGGGGTCTACTTTGGTATGTGCCCATGCAGAGCACACGTTGGGTACGTTGGACAGACCTGGTGCCCACCATCAGGAAGACCATACCCAGGCTGCAGACCCCTCAGCTCCCCATCTGAGTAAGCAGGGCTGCGCTCAGGGCGCTGCAGCCTACTGCCCCCTCGGCCCTGGTCTCAGGCTGACGGGGCCCGGGCCTGAAGCAGACCATGGCTCTGACCAGGCCGCTCACTGCTAAAAGTCAGGCCTCATCTGCTTCCAGCTGTCTCCAGTCTTGGCCTTCGTGTGAGACTGCAGACCCAGTACCCACACCCCAGGCAGGCCCCCGGGGCTCTTTGGGGAAAGTGTCTGAAAATAAATTTTAATCTTAAAAAGTAAGGTTTGACAACTGCTTCCACTCCTCTTTTCAGGTTTACTGAGGTATAACTGATGCATGAAGCTGTATTAGGTTTCAGGCGTCCCATGTGATGCTTTGCGATAGGTACACGCTGAGAAGTCATTACCAGTCAGGCTAAGGGGCCTGCCCACCCCCCACAGACAGAGCAGAGGGTTCTTAGTCTATCTGCTTAGAGACGCTTTCACGAGAGCACAGGTCAAAACCAGCGCGTCCAGCATCTCATTCCCAGAGACAGACCAAGAGTCAAGGGAACACCGTTGTGGATGATTTCTTGGTATCTCTCTATATACATAAATGCATGTTTGAAAACAAACAAACAAAAAAATGTGTGGCCCACACCTGTGATTCCAGTGACCCGGGAGGCTGAGGCAGGAGGATCGCAAGTTCAAACCCAGCCTCAGCAACTTAGCGAAGCCCTAAGCAATTCAGGGAGACCCTGTCTCTAATAAAATATTAAAAAGGGCGGGGGATGTGGCTCAGTGGTTAAGCACCCCTGGGTTCAATCCCGGTACCGAAAATAAATAAATAAATAGAAATTTAGAAATTTACACTGTCATTCACACAGTTTTGTAACTCGCCAAGTCTCTCCGCGGAGTGCAGTGGACACCTTTTTACTTTAATAGACACCTTTCTACTTTAGTAAATTCATGCCAATATCAGGATCTCTCAACGATATGATCAATTCTTCATTTCATTTCTTCTTGAACTCTTCCACTGCACAAGGAGAACAAACAACCCAGAAAATTCAAATAAAGAATCAAAGAGGAAAACAACACATAGTTCCACCTCCTTCTAGAAAGGGACCAAACAACGCTGTCGTCTTTATTCTACATTTTCAACACTCACCTATTCACAAAACATGAACATTTTAAAAGAAACCCTAAGTTGTACTGTCTCCTGCCTTTGGCTGAGTCTGGGTCATGGTGAGCTCTTATGTCAGTGGACATTCAGTCACCTGTCCCCATATCCGAACAGCTGCTCCATCCAGAAAGAGAGCCCCTTGGCTTGGCTGGTCCCTTTGGGTGGGCTTTTAGTTTGCTTTTGATTTAAATAACATCCAATGCCACAGTGAGCCCCTGCGCCCACACCCGGGGCGGTGCCTCGTTTCTTTAGGACACCTTCCTGCAGCGAAGGTGGCCAATGTCTGGGCTGAATCTGCCTCTAGAAGCCCCCAGACCCGACCCGGCAGCTGCTTCTCTGGCTGGGTTCTGAGCGGCTTCTCTGTGGGTGTTCAAACAGAGGCCACCCTGACGAGGTGGAGGCCCCGCTGGATCTGCCGGCTGACTCCAAGAAGGAGGAGGAATATCGCAGGAACATCTGGAAGGGCTTCCTCATCTCCATCCCCTACTCGGCCAGCATCGGGGGCACCGCCACCCTCACGGGCACAGCCCCCAACCTCATCCTGCTGGGCCAGCTCAAGAGGTAAAAAGCGAGCGCCCCTCGCCTGGGCTTCCATCCCAGTCTCCGCATCTCAGGAAGGTGGACAGAGGCCTCCTTTGGCCAGGCTCTAGGGACACAGAGATGCTCGAGGTCAGGGACACCTGTCCCCTCTGCCAAGGTGACTTTTAGCAGAGACCTACAAGTGAGGGCATGAGCTGTGGGGACAGAGGTCAGGAGAGCGTTTGAGACCTGGGCATCAGCTGCGCCAAGGCTTTGAGGCGGGGCTTTCCTGGAGAGCGCAGGGATCAGGCAGGCAGGGACAGCCAGGACGCCGGGGAGCACTCGTCCCAGCTACTCAGGAGGCTGAGGCAGGAGGATCGCTTGAACCAGGAGTTCCAGGCCGGCCCAGGGGACAGCAAGACCCACCCAGAGAAAGAAAGGAAGAAAGATGAGGGAGGCTGGCGGGCCAAGGCGGTGTGAGGAGCAAGGCTCTCAGCAGCACCCGAGGGACCAGATCTTCCTCCACACGGGATGAGAAAGGTGGGGAGGGGACAGCAGAGGATGACATGGCGCTTTAGAAACTGACCCCTGACGGGCTTGCTCTGTGGCTGGGAAGAGCCGAGAGAGACGCCTTCAACCATGCCGGGGGGAGGGGCTGTGGGGCAGGCTCTGCTCCCCGCACTGAGCGGGTCCCAAGTGACAGGGCTGCTGGCAGCCAGGGCGGGAGGACAGAAGAGAAGGACTCTTCACTGCACAACCTCATCCCGCTATCCCAAGCCTTTAGTTTCTTGAAGTTTAAAAGCTCAGTACTTCAAGATTCTGTGTCTATGGAGCTGAGATTCCAGGATTCTGGGAGGTTCCTTTGCAGTGGAGATGAATCCTGTGATTGTTGATTTGCATAACTGCAAACGTAGCTTTTAGCAAACAGCAGCTGACAGTGGTTGAGATCAGTGTGGCCACAAATGCTAGCCAGCCTCTCTGCCTGGTGCTCAGCGGTCACCATCTGTCAGGATGGTTCCGAGAGGGGGCCCTGTTGGTCTCAATCTCGTGAGGAAGGAATCAAAGTTCTCTCTTTTTTGCTTTTTGTTCATTATGTGGAGCTGGTTACAGATCCAGGGCGTGCTCTGCAAGCGCTCCACCAGAGCATGCCCCCCAGGTTACTTTCATGAGAAGTTTTCGGTACCCCTCCCCTCCCCGTTTGGCCTTAGTGAGCTCCTGGGTGAGATGAATTGTCACCGTACTCTCAGATCCCAAGTCCTTTCATTTTAAGATCTCAGCTTCACATGCCTCAGAATCACTGAGGGAGGTGAGGAAATAGGTGTGGGCCTCCCTTTCAGAGATTGTGACTTAGGAGGTGTGGGATGGGGCCTGAGCCTCCCCCTGTACCCGTGCTTTAAAGCCGCCAACCCCAGGTGTCTCTTGGTCTCTAGTCTTGCAGCACGGCGGGCCTGTGCCTCGTGGTGTGGATCCGCAACAGACAAGCCAGAAAGCTTGTGGTCCTGCTCCAGGGCTGGGAGGGTCCGGCGTGGCCTTCTGCTTTCCTACTTGTATACTGCCAGTTGGCCCTGGACTTGCTGAAGCCCAGTCTCCAGGGCTGGACAGGAAGCCGTGGGCGCTGGGTGCAGGACCAGGGTCTGAGTTGGGGCCTGGGGGGTACTGGGAAAGAGAAGTCACGGTCAGCCAGTTTCCAGGCCGCCTGCCTACCCTGATGTGAGCAGGATTGTGTTTCAAGTTGAAAAGAAACCAGGGAGGAAGCACTGGGGCTGTTAAATGAAAATGCCAAAATACACAGGATTTTGAGTAAATCACATGCAAATTGTATGCAAATACACTTGCATCTATGCAAATTGTATGCACAAACTTGGAACTTCTGGTGGAGAGAGAGAGAGAGAGACTGTAAAAGGAAACCTCTCCCATTAAAAAGAAAGTGGCTGCCCTGCCTGATCCTTGGTCCTGCTTCGAAACACATTTTACTGTTTTATTTTGATTATCAAACGATACAGACACATTATAAAACAGAAAACTGAGAAAAAAATTAAAAGTGTAGAATGCCTGCAATTCCACGGCTACAAGGCTTCCCTCGGCTCCTTTGTGTTCAGATACTCACTATCAGTGTAGCTTAGCCTTTGTTTTGTGTTTGGCAGTTCTGGGGATTGAACCCGGGCCTCAGGCCTGCGAGCAAGCTCTGGACCACTGAGCTACATCGCCAGCCCTGTACTATTTTGGAGCCTGATTTTCACATTAAAATTTTATAGAAAACATAAATTTTTAATAGCTATCAATTCTCCTGTTTTGGCTAAGTGTCACACTTTATTAATCGTGAGCATTTAGATTGCTTTCATCTTACTTTTGTTATTATAAATTATAGGACTGGCCACATATCTGCTAATATGTTAATATTTTAGAACAATATGTTTCTTTTTCTTTTGTCTACTCACAGAGGCATTCTTATTCATGGTAGAAAATACAGATGAAGAAACAGAAGGAAATAAAAGTCTCTCAGGGTCCCACTCTATTGTATATTAATATTTTCATTCATTTGTGCATTTATTATAAAATAACTTTATATTTTGGTTATTTATTTATTATTTATTTTAAAAGGCCTATGAGCACATGTGTGTTGTCATTTTACAACTTGTTTTTTCCTTTCCAGTCTAGCACAGACATTCCCGACTGCATTTGATCGCTGTTTCCTTAATGCATATTTTTAGTAACAATTTCTGGATAAGAGGGGGTACACACATTTTTTTAAGACTCAATGCACTTTTTTAAAAAATTGTTTTTAATTTGTTGTAATGAGTTATCCATGACAGCAGAAGGCATTTCGTTTCATTGTACACAAATGGAGCACAGCTTCTCATTTCTCTGGTTGTGCGTGACTGCAGAGTCGCACCGTTCACGCAATCGTACATGTACCTGGGGTCCCGATGTCCTCCTCATTCTGCCTTCTCACCTAACCATGCCCCTCCTCACCCCTGCCTCCCCTCTGCCCAGTCCAAAGTTCCTCCAGTCTTCCCGTGCTCCCTCCCCACATTATGGATCAGCATCTATTTACCAGAGAGAGCATTC